TGGGTGGGTGGGAGATAAAGTCCCAAGCATTTGCCAGGTTGGAAAAGTCCCTGCTCCTGGCCCTAGAACACAGCTGGGTTACACAGATAAAGTCGGAGAGAAGATAAGGACACTGATGGTTGTTGATTCTATAAGGACAGAACTTATGAAACTGGTCCCTGGGACTATTTTTCAAAAGACTTTATGAAATTGGGTCCCTCCTCCAAAAGAATGGACTTAGATTAAAAAAAAAAATAATACTTTGGGAGGCAACAGAGGATTACATTTTTCCATGTTGCTTTCTTCCTCTTTCCTGTAGGGTTCTACTAGTTTGAAAGCAAAGGCAAAGTCATCATGTCCTCACTTTTCTTGATTGTAACTGCATTAACATAATGGTAATACAAACACGAGAGAGAACGGAGCGTCTTTCGTTTTATTTCCTGGAAAATGGCTTACTTTGAAATGACTAAAATGCAGACTACCCACGAGAAATTACAAGCTGACTAAGGTACCAGGGACACACAAGGCACTGAAATGAGGTGAAAACTCAACTGAATCTGATTTTCAGTTTTAGTCAGCGCAAACTCCTATCTTCGCTCACTGTGTGTGGAGTCTGGCTGCTTTTACTAGAAAATTCTCCATCTTCCGCTCTTCTTTAGCCGTTCCTCAAGTGCCTGGACACAGAAGGGCTCAAATACTGCTTGGATGAGGTCAGTTCTTTCGGTATCGCTCATTAATTAATGAGAAAGTGTAACTTTGTATAGTTTCAGGGTAGTTAGAGAGAGAGGGAGAGAGAAAGAAACGGTACGTGCGCAAATTGGGCTTCAGGTGTTACCCAAGAGGCCCCGAAGCTTTCCAGCCGCGCACTTAAGATATCAGCCGCAGCAACCTTACCCAGGAGTCCTTTAGCCCAGCGTCTTTCTCATGCAAATTAGTTCGACTTTAGCTTTCCGGCTTCCCGTCCCAGCCTAAAGTCTTCTGATCCCGGCGCTACTAGGGCTGAATAATTACAAGGATCCACTGGCAAAAATGCTTCTCAGTGGTCGCCGGGGGCATCCTCAGCACTACCAGAAAGAGCCTTCAAACTTCATTTTCAAAGCGGCTCGTTGTTTCTATTCTATATTTCAGTTTTCTGTTTTCATGCCGGCTTAGTCCCAGGTTTAGGCTGATTTGGGGAAATACATTTAAAAGAATATCTAGGGTGCACTGGTGCCAGTTTTCTGGGAAGAAAATTCGGAACCGCAGTGCCCCCCCAAACACTGTCTTTTGTTGCCTACAAGCATCTTGGTTAATGTTTTTCAAACCCCAGACCCCAAAGGCACGGATGCAGCCGCCCAGGTTCGGACCTGTTTCCCAGAGCAGGAGCGGGCAGAGGTCGCAGAGGAGCCGCTCCCGCTGCTCAGAGAGCGCCGGGAAGGGTTTTAGGCTGGCGGCCCGCTCCGAGTTTAGGGGCAGGAAGGCTCTTAGCCGGAGGAGCCAGGGGTTCAAGCCTCGCTGGGCACTGCACCCCCAGAGTGGGACCCAGGGCTCCCCCAGAAGCCAGGACACGGGTGGAGGCGGCGCCTGCTGCAGAGGCCCCGGGCGAGTTGGGGTCCTGCTCTGGGCAGCTCCATTCAGAGGCAGAGCACATTAGGGCCTGTGCAGTTGGCCCCAGCCACAGCAGGGCAGCGTGACAGAGACTCAGAAGGTCCAAGAAAAAAATGCAAACCAAATAAACAGCAAGGGCTTGGGGCAGAACCATAGGGGCTCGGGCAGGCAAAGGAGGGGCTTGGACCAAACGTGTTCGCTGCACAGGCAGCCTGTAACCAATCCCAGCACTCTAGGAGGCTGAGGCAGGAGGGTCGCGAGTTTGAGTCCAGCCTGGCCACTTAGAGTCCTCTCTCAAAGGGGGCTGTGGATGGAGCTCAGTGCGAAGCCCTGGGTTCAGTGCCCAGTACCCTCAGCTCCCTTTATTTTTTTGGCTGTTGGCTTAAAGGAAGAGAGAGACGGGGCAAGACAGCGGAGGCAGAGACCGCACCCAGGACAGGCCAGTGGCCCCGGCCCCAGCCCTTGGCCGCCGCCCGCCCCTGCCCGGCCGCCCCGCAC